GTTTGTTAGTGTGTGTATGCGTATGAGAGTGTGTACATGAATATATGTGTAAATGATTGAACTAAGAGAGCCTTTGTCCAATGATTGATGGAGGCAGATGCAGAGATCCACGGCCAATCGATGAGAGAGAGGAGGGATTCTGCAGGCAAGGGACGTCGGGATCATGGCGGGAAGAAGTGCAGAGATGACCGGCTACACTATTGGAGACCATGAACTATAGACTAGTGGCTATGAAGCCCCCAGGGGACTAGACGAGGCCCTCTGGATACGGAAGACAGTTGTTTGGCTCGAACTGTTTGGGGAACACCTAGGCAGGGGGATCGGGATCCATCCCTGGTACATGGGTAGGCTTTTGGGAATCCGATGCCTGTGGTGTGATGCCTTGCACAGCCTTGGTACAGTGGGAAGGGGCTTGGACCTGCCTAGGCTCAGTGTGCCGGGCTCTGATGACTCCCTATGGGAGATCTTGATTTGGGGGATGTGGGGTGGCTTGGGAGGAAGGGCTGGGAGATGGGAGGAGGAAAGAGGTGCGATCTGTGAGTGGTATGTAGAGTGAGTAGAAAATTTCTTAATAAAAAAAAGAATATATGTGTATGTTTGTGTATTAAATGTGTGTATGAGTGTGTGTGAGTATGCATGCATGTGTATGCATGTGTGAGTGTGTGTGTTATGTGTAGGCGTGTGTGAATGTGTGTATGTGAATGTGTAGGTGTATATATATGTGTGCATGTGTGTATGTATGTCAGTGTATTTATGTGTGCATGTGTGTGTGCATATGTATATGAGTACATGTGTGTAAGTATGAATGTGTATACATGTATATATGTGTGTATGCAGTGCTGGGAGCTGAACCCAGGGTTGCATGTTAGGCCAGAACTTTACCAGTATCCATGTTCCCAGCTTCTTTTATATTTATATATAATTTTTTTTTTCAATTTTGAGACAAGATCACAGTTAGTTGCCCAGACTAGCCTTGAACTCACTAGGTAGCTCAATAGATCTTGAGCTTTTGATTTTTTTTTTTTTAAGTTGAGTTTTCAAGACAGGTTTTTCTCTGTATAGCCCTTGGCTATCCTGGAACTCACTCTATAGACCAGGCTGGCCTCGAACTCACAAAGATCCACCTGCCTCTGCCTCCCGAGCGCTGGGATTAAAGGCGTGCGCCACCTGAGTAGCTATGACTAAGAACCTGGACCACCAGGCTCAGCTCATCTCGTTTGGAAACCCTGGCTGCTTTAGCTTCTCGGCTGTTGGGTTTCTAAGTGTGTGCCACATACCCAGTTCCTATGCTATTTTTTTTGTCTGTAATGACTTTCTAAAAAAAATTTTTTTTTTTGTTTTTGTTTTTTGAGAAAGGGTTTCTCTGTGTAGTTTTTGGTGCCTGTTCTGGATCTCACTCTGTAGACCAGGCTGTCCTCGAACTCACAGAGATCCTCCTGGCTCTGCCTCCCGAGTGCTGGGATTAAAGGTGTGTGCTACCACAGACTGGCTTGTTTTGTTATTTTATTTTTTTGTTTTGTTTTTCTGAGTCAAGGACTCAACTGTGTAGCCCAGGCTGGCCTGGCTCGCTAGGTAGACCAGGCTGGTCTCAAACTCACAGAGATCTACCTGCCTCTGCCTCCTGATGCTGGGATTAAAGGCCTGTAAAATGACACCTGGCTTAATGGTGTGTGTGTGTGTGTGTGTGTGTGTGTGTGTGTGTGTGTG